TTAATTTTTTCCTTATGTTTTTCAATGTTAAATATTCTCGATATGAGACATTCTGTTTTTGTGTTAGTAATCCGAATGTCTTTCTTGAATATATTTTTTTATATATATATATATATATATATATATATATATATATATATATATATATATATATATATATATATATATATATATATATATATATATATATATATATATATATATATATAAAATTCATTTTTTTTTTCTTTCTAATTATTGCACGTCTGGTTCTCTTTTGTATTTCTGAATTTCCGTTTTAAGGCGCCTGATCTTCCCTTCGCCTATTGTTCAACGAAGTTTCTCCGGAATGTACCTGACGATTGCATCGTGCATGAAACTCATTACCAGTAAGGGGAAAAAAATGTATATTTCCTATCAATAAAAAAATCAACTGAAATCTAATGAAAGAAATAGACGTGTTTTAAAATATATAAGCAGCAATGGCTTCTATGAAAAATAATTTTTATATTACTGAAGAATTTTTATTATTAAATTTCGGTATCATCTTCAGTTTTTGGTCTCAATCCGAATAATAAATAAAAATAAAATAAAAATAAATAAAAGCTTCGTATGTAAAAGACTTTTTTTTTTAATAGAAGAGAAACTCCTTAAGTCCTGTTTTTTTCTCTTTTTTTTTTTTTTTTTTTTTTAAAATAAAAAAAAACAAACAAAATCACAAATCACTTGAACCTTGACCTGGAGGTGAGCAACTTAAGAGGACAATAAATTTGCTCTTTGTTCATTGGTGAAACGAGTGGGGCACGAATGAAAGCAACCCGGATTTTCCAGAGACACTGGCGCCAGTAACCACAGCACGACTCGCTTGTCAATCTAATCTGTCTTTTTGATTGACTGAAACTCTTTTATACTGCGAACATTACCGTCCTTTTATCAACTATCACTCCCCTGTCATTAACCATGCATCATTTATCCTATCTTTTTCTCTTAGATATTTTCTCCTATTTGTTTATAAAGCCGTCTCCCTTAAAAACGAAAGCGGTCAAGACTCTCCACTGTTTCCTTTTTCTGTCCAATGTATTAAGTTTCGTTCGAATATTTGAAAGGATCTAAAAATTTACATTCCATTGAGAGAAAATGTAGAAAAAAATGTAGCGATTTTTAGAAACAAGGAAAATATCTGAGATGAGTGGGATCTTCATTGCGGTTGTTTTTTTTTAATGCTGTTGTTCACGCAATACAGGCCCAAGAACCCCTCAAGGCAGATCGTTACAGAATAAGTTTGCCGTAAGGGTATACAATTGATTGATTTATTCATTTTCTACGGCTTAAAGCCAAAAATATTATTAGTTTGTAAGAATTAATTAATTTCTTTTTTTGAGATAATACTTTAGTGATACAAGTATTACTAATTAACCCATAGCTAGTTCTCCACAGCCTTAACCGGGTATTGAACTCACAGTCTTTGGGTCCTGTCACTGGATCTAACCAACGCCTTTATCCACTGTGCGGTTAAGGCAGTGGAGAACGTGGAGAGGGGAATTAACAAGAGATAACTGATAACTGACATCCATTAAACATGGCACGTGGAACGAGAACAGTCTACCCCAGTGAGCGAAATAAAGAGTTCTGTTCGACATCCCAACCACCTGAAGAAGGACGGAGCGTACAACGGCAGAAACGTTGTAATAAATATGGCGACAATAGTCCGAATAATGTAAATAATGTACATAATACCTCATCTCAGAAATATAGATAGATACTGAAGAAGGCCGAAACGTTGTAATAAATATGGTGACCAAGATGAGGACAATAGTTCGAATAATGTGAATAGTGTACATAATGCCTCATGTCAGAAATATAGACGGAAAAAACTTTATGTACATAACTTATATTCAGAGCAGATTTTCTGTTACTGTATTATTCCTGCTTGAGCAAAAAAAAAAAAAAAAAAAGAAGAAGAAAATTGTATGTTTTAAATTCTCCAAGGACTTGTTCTTATAACTAATATAAACATTAAGCGCTACAAAAATAATTTCTCGAAATTTCATAAAATTAAATAAGTTGCGGGTAACAGAAATATTTTTACCAAGATTTTCTAAAAAACAAACATTTAAAAAAAAATCCAATTTATTTCGGAATAAGGCCCGAATGTTTCATTAAAATCTGGCAATTATCTGATTTTTGCAAGAATTTCCAAATCAATGTGTTTCTTGCCGCAGACAGACGCTCAAATTTCTCGTTCTAATTTATGGTCCCACGTTGACGCCTGATAAACAGGATTTTTAACCAAAATTTCGAAGATTCTAAAAAGGATTAAAAAAAATGTTATATAAAAAATTTTGGTCTTTCCTCACTCTGTTCATATATGTGAAACTTTTTTTTTTATTTTGCCCGTCATCTTCGGACTTTTATTATCTAATTTTCCCTCTCTTGTATCTTTATTCCTTCCAAACTTGTTCAGAATTTGTTTAATGGCAGAGACAGTTGTGAGTTTTTCAGTCGGGCTCTTTATTATAGGTCAAGAAAAATACTGAATAAGTCGTTTTTTTAGGCAGGTAAAAGAGAGAGAGAGAGAGAGAGAGAGAGAGAGAGAGAGAGAGAGACAGACAGTAGGGAAGAGAGAGAGAGAGAGAGAGAGTGGAAACCATGAAAGAAAAATGATCATGATGGAAGGGAGAAGAAAAATAGACAGGTCGATGAAAAGGTGAGAGAATGAGAGAGAGAGGCGAAAGAGAGAGAGAGAGGCGAAAGAGAGAGAGAGAGGCGAAAGAGAGAGAGATAGATAGAGAGAGGGGGCGTAAGAGAGAGAGAGCGAGAGAAAGAAGAGGAGGTACTTAACAATCAAGAAGGATAGAGAAAGAGATCAAGAAATAGAAGAAAGAGAGAGAGAGAGAGAGAGAGAGAGAGGAAACCGTGGAAGAAAAACAGACATAGAACAACACATATGAAATGATCGTAATGGAAGGGAGAAGAAAAAAAGACAGGTTGATGAAAAGGAGAGAGAGAGAGAGAGAGAGAGAGAGAGAGAGAAAGAGAGAGAGAAAGAGAGAGAGAGAGTTGGAAAGAAGAGGATGTACTTAATAGAGAAAGAAATCAAAATAGGAAAGTCTGTGTGTTTGTGTGTGTGTGTGAGAGAGAGAGAGAGAGAGAGACAGACAGACAGAGTAAAAGACAATAAATATTTATGATATATCAGTCCGGGTGTGTTATTTAAACTCTGTATGGGGCACCCAGTGAGGTACAAACTCACTTCTCAATTGTAACGGACAACGAGATTAGTTTCGTTAACCATTACCCTGTGCTGAAATGTCTATGAAAGCGTAGATTATAAATGGAGGATAGAAATATAAGTTAAGGCGAAAAGGAGACAGCGAGAAAGTGAAAACAGGATAGAGAAAATTAAAAAAAATGGCGGAAGAGAAAGAAAGAATATGGAAGAGAAAAACAAAGAGGATAGATAGATAGATAGATAGATAGATAGATAGATAGATAGATAAAATATAAACAGACCGAGAAAGATATCTGAATAGATTGCGATAGATAGATAGATAGATAGATAGATAGATAGATAGAAGACAAACTTATAAAACAGATATTGTCAAAATGGATAGGGGTGAAGTAGGGACACAAAATACAAGGCATAAGAGAAAGAGAAAGCAAAAAAAGAGAAAGAAACAATAGAGGGAGAGAGAGAGAGAGAGAGAGGAGACAATCGACAAAGTGGAGAATATTTGAAAAGACGAACATGGAAACCAGAGATGGTAATAAATGGAGGGAGTGAAAGAAAGACAAAATGAAAGTGGAGAGAGAATGAGAAAGAAAGAAAGAAAGAAAGAAAGAAGATAGGAATCTCTCCTATCTTTCTTTCTTTCTTTTCTTTCTTTCTTTGTCTTTGTGGAGTAGAGAGAGAAACTGTTAGTCGAAGGTAGAAAACAAAGTTGGCAACATATGAGAAAAGGAGTGAGAGAGAGAAGTTGTGACAAAAGATAGACAGTTAGATAGGTAGAGAGAGAGACAGAGATAGAGACAGACACACACACAGGGAGAGAGAGAGAGAGAGAGAGAGAGAGAGAGAGAGAGAGAGAGTGGATCAATCTAGACTTATGCAAAAGAGACGGAAGAAGCAAATCAGGAAAAAACTGATCTGATATCAAAATTGGAATGCCAGCAGGTGTCAAACCGATTCTTCGCACCAGGAACCTAATTTCTTTTTCTTTTGGCGTTTGCAAAAATGTATCTCTTCCGTTTCATTGACTTTGTCTAGTTACACTAGCTGTCACGTGATTCCAGCTAAAGCGGGGAATCTTAAAAAGAAAGTTTGTTGCTGCCTTAGCTAAATGCAGACGAGACGACAGCGGCCGCCATGGAACCTTCCGCTATATACAGTGGGGACGTTGTTTGCATTTTCGGAAAAGCGAAGCAAAATGGTGGGGAAAAGTCGTTCAAGCAGAGTAAGAATAGAAAAAAAAAAAACAGTATTGTCTGTCCGCAGAATTACCCCACTCTTGTGTTTATTTTGAAACGAAAACCCAAACAAAACTAGTCTTGATATTGCAATGAAGAAGCTTATAAAAATAAGAGTGAATAAAATTAGTATTTGATGGTTCTCATTTTTGACCATTTCTTTCCAACCATCTTCGTCATACATTACTCAACTCAGTCCTTCTTTTCTGATTCCAGTGTCGTCTATGAGTTGATCGCTAAAGATTCTTGCTGGTCTACCCTTTCATCTTTTCCCGATGCATATGTTAGTACTTCGTATGTAGTCTTTACTTGCAGATTGACCATAGATTTTCGATTGGATTTAAATCAGAAGTGTTTCCGAGCCAGTTGATAGTACTTTGATTTGCTCACTGGAAAACCTTGCCATTGTGTTCATGCAGCGTTACAATTTTCGTACGCTTCCTTCGAATAACGTCCGTCGCAGACAATGGCCGTAGGACAACTAATCAACAGTCAAGACAATAGTTTCTGGTGTGATAAAAATGTGATGCAATCCTGGATGACGCAATATTTTTTAGGGCCAAACAAAATTCATCACACACCCCGAAAATAGATCCCTATTATTGCACACCACCGCAAATGGCTTAATCTGAGGAAAAAATAGAAATCGATTACACCCTGTCACTCCAGTGGGTCTAAAACTGACCGTATGATGAAAGAAAGGAAATTAAAGCAGTTGCTTCAATTAGTTTGCACAAGGGTATATATTAAGCATTTTTCATCGTCTTAATTTGAAAACGAAATGAATGCAAAAATAGCTAGCTGCTCGTTTCTAAGTATAGTGGTTTCTAGGGCGGCAAGCTTATTCCCTTTGCAGGTGCTTGCTCAGTCACATGTGTTTTTCTCTATCACCCACAAGTCTGTGTTATTTAATAAAAATCTGAGTGGACCAAAGTTTTTTCTTTTTTTTTTTTTTAACAAAGCAGGTACACTCGAAATCTCAGTCACAATGACATGTTACTTCGTGCTAAGCAATTTCATGTAACCAATTTTAAACACAAGGCTTGGGTCTACCTGTGCTACGTTTAACAGACACTTCCCAATCGCATCCCAAGGACGATATCATCACAACGGCATCCCCTTGATAAATCAGCCACAGTGAGATTCGAAGGTCGAAATGATTGAAGCGCTAATCTTCTTACCACTTGGCTAAGCGCCAGCGGGAAAACTAGAAGTATGCAGTTTTTCTCCAAAAGACTTTGCACATACCGCAAATTTTTATTCCCTTTAGGAACTGGGACTCTAGAAATATTTAACAGCTGATAGATGGATTAATCCCAGCAAAGAATTACGCTTGCGTGCCCGCCTCATGCGTGGCGTCATCACGATGCATGAATGGTAAATGCCGAGTTTAAAAAATGTCTTCAAAATTGGAAAGGAGAAATAACAGCCACATTATTCTCTGGTTAGTACAATGGCAATTATATTGGTTGGTTCGTTGATTTTGTTTAGCGGCATGTAAACACCTTTATGGGTTATTTAAATCAAAATATTTTGAACACAATTTTATGGCTTCAACTAAAAATATTTTTAACGCAATTTTCAATTACAGATAAATTGGTCATCTTGCTATAAAATGTATTATTGGCAATTTTACTATAAAATAGTATTGCTGGTATTTTGCTTTAAGAATGTATTGTAGGTAATTTTACTATAGATATGTATTGTTGTTATTTTTTGTATAAATATGGATTGTTAGTATTATTATACTTTCATAGTGTTTCGTTTTTGTTTGAGAGTTCACTATTTACCCATAGCTGGGACCCTAACAGGTGTTACCACCCCGAGTCAGGGTGGCCTGAGAAAACCAACAATTAAGAGGTTGTTCCACGTTCCTCAAAACATCCAACCTCTCGATAAGGCGACATTGCTGCCGGATGTAGTTTATCGTCATTCACAGGTTGGTTGATGTTTTTTTTAGCAGCATATCAGCCTCTTGCATTAATTACATTATTCGGACTGTTATCCTCATCTTCATTGCCATTTTCACAACGTTTCGGTTGTTGCACGCTTCTGCTTTCTTCAGGTGATTGGAATTTCGCACCGAACTCTTTATTTCGTTCACCGGGGGAAATAAAAGGTTCAGTTCTAATTTCAAATCACCTGAAGAAGGCCAGGGCGTACAACGACTGAAACGTTGTGAACAGGGCAACGAAGAAGATGATAGCAGTTCGAATAATGTAAATAATGCAAGTAATCATAATACCTAATCTCATAGATATAGACATATATATATATATCAACCTCTCTGGTTTATTTGTATCCAAATATTTTGAACGCAATTTCAGGGATTCAAATAAATATACTTTGAGCGTAATTGTATGCCTTCAACTACAAATAAAATGTATTGCTAGTCATTTTGCTATAAAATATATTTTTGGTCATTTTGCTTTCAAATAGTATTGTAGGTAATTTTACTATAAAATATATGGTTGGTCATTTATTATAAAATGTATTGTTGGTCATTTTCCTTTAAAAATGTATTGTGGGTAATTTTACTACAAATATGTGATTCGTATCTTTTTTATATAAATATATATTTTTATGTATATGTATATATTTTTTTAAATATGGTATTTTTACTACGAAAATTATTTTTACACTTTGATAGGATTTTCTTTTTGTTTGAGTGTTCACTCTTTACCCAAAGTTGCTATTATTTTCGAAAACATTCACGTTTTCATCGTCAGGCATTAATATTTTTTTCATTTCAGGTAAATTTCCAATATTTAAAAAATGTTCTCACTTGAAATATTTAAAATACAACTTTAGCGTTGCGGCATTGCACGTTCCAAAATTGCACCGTTAATAAATAGCACACTCTTAAGAAAAACAACATTTTCCCGCCAGCAAATCATTTATTTTCGTCTTGGAATATTTTTAAAAGTACTAGCAACGGTATCTGTCTATATTTCTGAGATGAGGTATTATGTACACTATTTACATTATTCGGACTATTGTCCTCATCTTTGTCGCCATATTTATTACAACGTTTCGGCAGTTGTACGTTCCGGCCTTCTTCAGGTGGATGGAATGTCGAACTGAATCCTTTATTTCGCTCACTGGGGTAGACTGTTCTAGTTCCACGTGCCATGCCTAATGGATATCAGTTATCAGTTATTGTTCTTTAGTAGCGCATGTTTTAGCTCTCGACCATGAAGGACTTCATAGTAAGCAAGGCTTTTTTTTATCCTATTTAAGGAATGCACACCCTCTTCTGATGAGAGACCATATCTGCTCAGTTTCGAATCCGAAGCGTAACCAAAGCAATTTCTAAAGAATTAACGGATATATTTTTAATTTTTTATTGGCGCTACATAATCTTCTAAAGTGGGCACCCTCTTGTTAGTCAGGATACAGGTAAGCAAATATTTAAACTGGAGAATATCAAAGCATGACAGCAAAGGTCAAGATTATATTACAGCTTACTTCAACTAATTTTGGTGTATTTGAAATATATTTTGTCAGATCTGAAACTACAGTTCAGATGATTGGTGAAAGCTGTGTGAAATTCTTAGTTTTATTAGAGATGGCACAGACAGAACAGTTTTGCCTCTTGATTGATCATAGCTCTCCACAACATCTTTTTCTTTTATCTGACTACCTGGTGAAATCAGATTGCTTTCTGTTTTGAATTTGTTTTTCTAATTGAAAATTGTTCACTATTAATTGCCCTACCAAGGCCAGAGAGCCAAGTCTGCCTTATTTTAGCAATAAATTGGGTGGGAGGTAGAGAAGTTGATTTGTGTCTTCTCCAAGGGCGTTAGTCCAAATTGATGGCAAACTGTGTCCGCTTAGCTAAAATTTGAACCCAGCTTGCGAATTCCAGTTTGTTGCGCTTATAACCCCTAAACCATTTGTTTTGTTAGACAAAGCTAATAAACATTAATGACAAGTTTGGCTAAAATAAAAATGCTAAGAGATAACATCGATTATAATAAATTGGCGCTACATAATCTTCTAAAGTGGGCCCTCTTATGTTAGTCAGGATATATATAAGCAAACATTTAAAGTGGAAAAATATCAAAGCATGACAGTAAAGGCCAGGATTATATTTCAGCTTACCTCAACTAATTGTAGTGTATTTGAAATACATCTTGACAGATGATTGATGAAAGCTGCCAGAAATTTCCAGTTTTGTTACAGATGGCTAAACACAGACGGAACAGCTTTGCCGCTTGATTGATCATAGATCTCCACAGCATCATTTTCTTTAATCTCTGGCTCATTCTGGTAAAGATACAGTACTTTCAATAACATAATAAAATCATCCTTGATAATGGCTAAAAGAATAGCCGAAAGCGTTCGGATATATAGAACGATGGGATAATTTTTGCATAATTTATGTCCAGAAAAGAAAAAAAAAGATTATTCAAAATTTTGCGATGTCAACGAACACTCGTTTACACTTTTGTAATGCCAACGAATACTCGTTGTCACTTTCGTAATGCTCATTGTAGTAGAGACTTTGTAATCGCAGATACAATTATAGTGACGCCGTTGAACAATACTGGTGTCGGACGCCTTCGAATAGCACTCGCACTAATAGTACTTGCTCGATAATACTAGCATGAATATTAACCACTGAATAGTGAACCGAAGTGTAATCCGTATAGTGATCCGAATAGAGAAATAGTATTGTGAATAGAGTAGAGAATAGCGTTTCGAATAGTAATAAGGGATAGGGTAGAAATAACGATCCGAATAGTAATAGAGAATAGAATAGAAATGGTTATGACAGCATAACAGGATGTCATCTTTGATGGTGAACATCTCTGTTGTAATGTCTATATAACCATCTCTGATGATGGCTCACGTGAGCCGAAAGCTTAGATCGAGGAACAACATAATAAAAATATCCAAATGCTGGACTAAACATAACTAAAGCCACTATACGAAACTTAGAACGGCTCATAATCAAGCATAATAGACATTCGTTCTCAGTTATATTTAACAACATATGTTTGAATTATATATATATATATATATATATATATATATATATATATATATATATATATTATAGAAGAAACTCTTGCCACCTTAATTTTTTCAATAGTCAATGCCCACTCAAATACAAAATAGCAGTGATAAAATCTTACTAAAGAGAGCACACGAGAATTCATCCTCTTGTCTACTTTTCCTGAAAGAACATTACAAAACAAACACTAGTTAACAATGGTTTTCCTAATCACCACATCGACCGTCAGATCAGACTATTTCTCTCCAAAGTAAGTAATAACGTTATCGAGCACAGAGACAATAAATATATATATAGTGATAATAAAATGGACACTTAAAGTATTCATTCATTAACAGTCCGAATAATTCGTTTATATATTTTTTTTGTGAACACCGAGATGTTCAGCTCATCAGAACGAAAACCTCTCTGCAAAGTCCATATATATATATATATATATATATATATATATATATATATATATATATATATATATATATATACTGAGAAGTATTCGTGAATTTACAATTTAAATAATGCTTAATATATAAACTCAATCTTGGTGTCACATGTTTTTCAGGGCATATATCATGGCACTCCACTCATCTTCTGTTGGTCTCGATCATACTTCGCCCTTCTTTATACGTGTACCTTCATGTACCTTTATACGTTTACCTTTATATGTGTACCTTTATACGTGTACCTTCATGTCTTTGTTCGAATTTGTCATGTAGGTTACCCACTTCTCTTGCAGCTGCTGCACCCTGTTGGCATTAAGTTTTACAAGCCTTCTTTCCATGTCGTGTTTTTTGAACATTTTAACAGGCATTTTGTTAAAACAATACCATTCACTTAAAGATTAACAGATAAAATTTGCATTAAAATGTTTTAGTTTATATCCTGGTTCAATGTTATCTTTGTATTCAGATCTGTGGAGAGTTTGACGTTTCTTTCAGCTTATTGTTATAAATCTGTCACAGAAGAGCTGCTCTTTGTGTGTACAAGTTTTAAACACCAAATAGAACAGTTATTATCGGACAGAAATTGTGTAAAATTAAATATTAGTTACGAAATGCTTTCGAGAAAAATCATTTTACACAACCGTGTAAGTGTTAACGTATCTGCAACAAACTTTAAATAAAGTTTTGTAATTGTCATTATTTCCCCCCACCCCAAAAAAAACTCGTAAGAGAGAGAGAGAGGGGGTGGGGGTGAAAAAGGAGACAGTATATATGTTATAGTGAAATACACCTATTCTATTGTTAATAGACTCTCCCACCTATAATAAATAGTAGTAGTAGACTCGTTCGGGAGTTGGTCAGTCAGTCGATGTCGGACGACCGTTAGTCGGATATTAAAGTATCAGCCACCACAACTAGATTACTGTGTAATTACCTATTATATCAAGTTCCTAACGTTTTGTACGTCGAACCTATTTTAGGACCGACTTAGTACAAATACAAGCCTCCACTGTGAAACCACTCCATAACAATACAGTGTAACCCGGATATAAGAAACCCGGATATAAGAGAAACCCGGATATAAGAGAGATTTTCTCTGGTCCCAAAGTGTTCCTATACTTTCCTAAACAAAATAGACCAAACCCGGATATAAGAGAAACCCGGATATAAGAGACCTCTTTTATATCCGGGTTACACTGTATAAGGGAAGATGAAAGATGATGAGAGGGGAGAAGCAATAAAATGAAAGAAAAAGTGGAGAAAAGCGTCAAAGGGTGCATGAGAGTCAGATTTGATTTATATACATACAACAACTTCTTTGTACATAGATTATAGCTGCTTTGAACAGATGCTTTGCAGTCAGATAAGACATTTGCTTTATAAATAACAAGAGATTTTATAATTATATATATTTTATCACTAAAACGTCGTTTGGAATGAATATTTAAGTAGAGGCTCGGTATATTTATTTATTTTCGTCTAGCGGCCTGAGAAGTCGGGAAATCTCATTAAAGAAAAATCTTGTGGTTTTAGTGACACTAATCTTACTAATCAACCCATAGTTGGGGAAGAAGAGGTTGATTCATAGCTTTCCAGAGGATATTTGCGCGTAAGCGAATATAACGAAACCCAACGAAAGTTGGAACTCGGTTATCCGATTAATAATAAAGAACCGTTATCCATTACACAACCCGCACGTCCAAGCTTAAAGCACATGGTATTCACAAGCAGTCACCCATCTAAGTACTGACAAGGCTCGACGTTGCTTAACTTTGGTGATCGTACGGGAACAGGTGTTTCTACGTGATGTGGACGTAAGCCTAAAAGAGATTAAAAGAGAACGAGAGAAAGAAAGATAGGTGTTATGGTCCGGTTCCTTGTACCACGGTGATAGTCCAAGGTAGAACCAATAAAGAAGAACTCGAACACAGGTATGGAATAACACCGATATATTACAAACAGGAATATATACAGAGAAGTAGAAAGGTTAGTATGAACAATCAGGTTTAGTAGGGAGAACAATGTAGTCTCGACCAGTATCACTATTCCAATGTCTTGTAGTAATTGTCTGAACGCGACTCTGTTTCGTACTGCCTCTGACTCGACTGACTGACTCGCTCGCTCTGACTGACTGACAGACTCCTGACGGACTTCACTCCAGACTTCAGACGGAACTCCGGACTTCAGACGGAACAGTATTTAGTCACCCACCCCACGAGGGCATCATGTGGCACAAGGCCGGTTTAACGTGGGATCTCCGAGCCCGTGGTCTCGGCCAAAAATATGCTCATTGAACCCGCATAAACGGGTTCAGGGTCGGTTTATCTCCCCGAAAGAGACTCCGCCCTTCGGCGTAGCCTTGTTCGGGTTCCTCCCCGCTCGAAGGCAGAGAGTTCAACCGGTCAGCCGGTCGCTCAACTTCGGACGGAACTCCCTGCTTCCTCTTGAGGCGCAGTATTTATTACGTATGGAATAGTCCATTATGTTATTATGGGTAAGGTCCCATAACAATAGGTATAGAAAAAGGGAGAGAAATAAAGATTGAAAGAAAGGCATAAAGAAAAGAGAACAGAGCGGGAGAGAGAAAGAGAAATAGAGAAAGAAATAGAGTGAAGATACAGAGAGAAAGGGAGGGAATAAGAGAGAGAGAGAGAGAGAGAGACCAAAAGAGAAAGAATGAAAATGATAGAAAAAATAGAGAGAAGGTACAAGAGAGAAAGACGGAGAGACAACGGGGGAGAGAGAGAGAGAGAGAGAGAGAGAGAGAGAGAGAGAGAGAGAGAGAGAGACATTTTTAATACATAGGATCACATATTCACTTTGATACAATGGTCTCGATCAACAAATCTAAGGAGATTAGAATAGATAGATAGATAGATATGAATAGTCTAATAGATAGATAGATAAAAGACAGAGAAAGAAGGCTATAAAGAAAAAGAAAGAAAAGAATCTGAGAGATGAGAAGTAAAGAAAGATAAGTATAAAAGAGACAGAGAGAAATAGAGAGAGAGAAGGTTTAAGAGAAAAAGAAGAGCGAACGGGTAAAAGAGAGAAAGAAAGAGAGACAATGTGTTAGAGAAACATAGCGAAAAAGAAAGGAACAAAGAAAAGAAAAGAAAAAACGAGAGAAATAAAGAGAGAAAAAGGACGAGAGAAAACGAAAAAGAAAGAGACGTAAAGATAGAGAAAGTCAGAGGAAATGAGATGGAAAGAGAGAGAGAGAGAGAGAGAGAGTGAGAGAGACAGGCAGACAGATCGAAAGAGAAATTGAAAAAGTGGGAGAAAAATAGAGAGAATGAGAGAGAAAAAGGGAGGGTGAAAACGGAGACAGTATATAAGAGAAGATGAAAGAAAGATGACGAGAAAGGTGAAGAAATAAAAAGAAAGAAAAAAGAGGAACAAGCGTGAAAGGGAAAGAGAGAAAGGGAGCGTGAGAGCCAGATTTGATTTATATATATATACATGAAGAGATTAAACAATATCGATCGGAGGTATACATCGGTTATTGGTGTTGCATTCTCCGAGTCGTTATCGATCAGACATATCGCAAATTAAAAATGACGGGTCGAAATAGACCCAGAGTAGAGAACCAATACTACAGAGCGCATGCGCGAATATCTATCTATCTATCTATCTATCTATCTATCTATCTATCTATCGCAACCTGTTCATATCTATATACAGATCGATCTCAACCTGTTCATATCTATCTATCTATCTATCTATCTATCTATCTACCAAGCTAGATAGCGAGGTAGCTAGATAGCTATCTAGCCTGTTCCTATACAGTGATTTTCCAAGCGTGCTTAGGTGTGGCTAGCCTGTTCATATATATCTATCCTCATTGGGTACCTCATGCATTCGGCCTTGTGCCACATTCAAGCAACGCTTAGAAAATCACCTCCGAAATAGACCCAGAGTAGAGAACCAATACTACAGAGTACATAACTACGCATGCGCGAATATCTATCTATCTATCTATTTATCTATCTATCATCTCTTTCTATTATATATATATATATATATATATATATATATATATATATATATATATATATCAACCTGTTCATATCTATCTTTCGACCGATAACAACCTGTTCATATCTATCGACCGATTCTAACCTGCTCATATCTATCTATCTATCTATCTATCTATCTATCTATCTATCTATCTATCTATGTGGATGCACTGAAAAGTTTACGTCTAAACCAAGAAGCACTTCTACCACAAACCCTGACCTTTGGTCATTCGATCGAATTTTGAGGAGTCGGTCGAGTTGCGAAATGCTTAATAACATCTTCGTATAGATTCGTATCGATCACGGCCACAATCATGAGTCCCATAAACATTGACGGTGTTAAGCGTACATTATGTAGAGCAGCTGTAGCAGCAGTGAGTGTGTCTAGAGGAAGATAGCCTCACGGAGTCAATCACCCTTGATAGCTAATCATGTATGGCGTTGGGGAAAGTAGTCAGAAACATTTGTGGAAGAAAAATACTAGTCAGAGAAGAACAATGATGAGTCAGACATCTGAAGGAATCAGCGTATACGCTAGGCTATGCGAGCCTACTCAGTAGGCCTAGCATAGAAATAAGTACGATAGGAGAATCATTATTAATAATTAAATAAGTAAAAATGAGAGCAGAAAAAACAGGAAGAAAAAGCGAAGCGAAAGCGTATGCATTTGAATGCACGACAGCAGGTGGAAAGAGAGTGAGACAGGAAAATGTTTGCTTTTTTTTATAAACTTCAACTGCGCCACCTAACGGCGTTTAACGAATCCAGGTGGGGTAATCATATTTCTGTTTCCTTCACTTTTATCACGGGAGAATGTATTTCTTCTTTTTCTTTATTATTATTCATCGCACTGAGGAACACATATTTTATTGAATGATATCCAACGCTTGATTCTAAGGTGCGTTGACTACTAATTTCGACTCGGTTTGACACGATCAGGTTCTGATTCCTGTCAACAGCCTAGGAGCCATTTTCACAGATTTTTCAAATTAGGTCTAAAAAATTAAGTCACGCGTTAATTTTATTTTCAAGTTTTATGAATATAAGCAGTAAAATTGCATTATAACGATAGAAATGACTTTAGAAAAAAAGAAGATATGAAGATTTCACTGTAGTAAAAATTTTCTTTTATAAAACTTTCTAGCGTATTTGCTTCTTGATAGCAGTTCTCCTTTGAAGCACCAACCGTAGTCAGCCATCATGTGGAAATCGCAGCGACCTTGGTATCGTTCCTCTATAATTTTGATAACTTGGTGGAATCTCTCTCCATGTTCGTCACTCACATCACCTAAATTACTTGGAAATTTGATCAAGGTAGCTATTCAAAAAGTGCATTTTTATGCGCATATTGCAATCTAACCCTTTGTAGTCCTTCACCATTTTGTTTACGATTTCTTCGTAATTATCTGTTTTATAATTGCCTAAAAGGTTTTCTATCAAGTTCACGAATGAGAAGCAGACATTTGTTTCGCGTTCATTCATGGCATTAGTAAAATCGCTGTCTTTAATTAATGTTCTTATTTGTGGACCGTCGAAAATTCCCGCCTTGATTTTTTTTCATAACTTGGAAATTTTGAAGAAATTACGTCATACATTATGAAATGGACAAAGTCCGACAATGATTTAAGACATTTTTTATGTTCATACGTTCTTTTTATAGAAAATTTCTTCAATAATTGTCGGACTTCGTCCATTTCCTAATGTATGACGTCATTTGTTTACATTTGGATACGCATTGAGCAGATATGAATGAATGAGAGAAAATCATGAAGAATTGTGTTTAAAAACAATAAAATCAGCTCCTCTGTGGCCCAATCGGTTAAGGCACGTCAGGCTATATGACGGTTCCGTCTCGGATACAGGTTCGATTCCCGTCGGAGGACGCATATTTTCTGTGAAACATTTCTCGGACATTCAGGCCAATAAATGTTGTTAATACTGTTTATTATAAACAGAGCATTTACTTAAAGATTTGTAGCTATAAAAAGAACGTATGAATATAAAAAAAATATATATATATATATATATATATATATATATATATATATATATATATATATATATAGAGAGAGAGAGAGAGAGAGAGAGAGATAGATAGATAGATAGATATGGTCTGATATAGGTATAAAACGAAATAGATAAATATTGTCTGAGATAGGTATGAAATGAAAAATATATATATATATATATATATATATATATATATATAGAAAGAGACAGAGAAAGATTGAGAGAGATGGTCTGATATAGGTATGAAACGAAATCGACAGATAGATAAAATATACGAATATATTATAATAAATAAAAACAGTGATCGATAAGTAGTTATGAAAAGTGATTAATAAGGAAAACTGATAGATAGACCGATAGATATACCGTAACAGACTGAGACACATAGAAAGATAATGAATAGAGATATAGAGATAAACAGAGAGATAAATAGGAACAGACTGACATAGATAATTGCCGTGGCCTGTTTAGGGGCCAGAAAGAAAGAAAGACACGGAAGACGAAGGTAGGTTTAAATGTATATTAAAGATATATACAGAACAATTGTGTTAGTAATAAGTAATTTAGCACTGTGTCTACTACTCCACTTCACTTCACCCTCTTCATCCGACTCTCGCAGTTTTTATTTATGAGAGGAGGAAGAGTTCATTATACTGTAAGAGGGTTTACCACAACAATAATGACGATAGATAGATAGATAGATAGATAGATAGATAGATAGATAGATAGATAGGGAGAGAGGTCATGAACAGACTAAGATAGATAGATAGATAGATAGAGAGAGAGAGAGGGGGGGAAAGAGAGATAGAAACATACTGAAATAGATAAGGAATTGAGTGAAATAGATAATGAACAGACGAAGGTAGATAGATAATGAAGATAGCTAGATAGGACGAGACTGACATACAAAGTTAATGAATACAGATTGATAAATATTAACAGAATGAGATAGATAAATAAATAAGAAATGACTGACATATATAGGATAGATAATGAATATAGTTAAATAGATAATGAACCCACTAAGATACATAGATAGATAATAAAGATAGATAGATAGATAGATAGATAGATAGATAGATAGGATGAGACTGCAATACATAGATAATAAATATAGATAGATATATATTAACAGAAGGAGATAGATAGATAGATAGATAGATTGGGACAGACAGATATACACACATAGACACTGAATATAGATAGATAGATAAATAGATAGACTGATAAATACAAATAGATAGAGAGAGAAAGAGAGAGAGGGGGAGAGAGAGGGTGGGTGAGAGATAAAATGATAGATAATGAGAAACTGCTAAAATCTGAAAAAAAAAAGCAAAAAAAAAAAAAAAGCTTCGAACTCAAGATGGAAATGTAAACGCATCACCACTCAAATGACTGGAATTGTTTCCAAAAGAAGGAATGGTCCACGTGTAAGCGAACAAATAAAAGAGGAAATAAAATATTAAAAATCAAAGAAAAATAAAAAAAATAAATAAAAGTATACACAGAGAAAAGGCAGACAATTAATGATGATCGAAAACGTTTGACAAAAAGCTTTGCCAATTGTCACGAAATGAATTGTGTAATCGGCGACAAGATCAAAGGCTTAGAATACAAGAATGAAAGAACAATGTTCTGTAGGAATATCGGAATGCTACTCCTACTCCGCCTTCTCTTCTTATTCATACCACTTTTACTCTTAACCTGCACCTCTTTCTTTTTCTTCTCCTGCTCCCCCTCCTACTACTACTAATGTACGCAATGAATGAACTTATCGACAAGTTCACCATTAAATGACATTTGAAGAATTCAGAAACGCGTAATGAAGTGGCATGGGAGAAGAAGAAAGCGTGTAAGAAAAAAAAAGACAGAAGAGAAGAGAGAGAGAGAGAGAGAGAGAGGAGGAAAGCAGAGAAAGATCAAGAAAAAGAAAGAAAGAAAGAAAGAAAGAAAGAAAAAAGAAAGTGTAGTCTGTGAAGGAGAGAGGGATGAAATAACAGGTAAGAAAGGATAAATATAAAAAAGGAGGGGATGAAAAAGAAAGAGAAAAAGAGAATGGGGTATAAAAAAAAAACAACCTTGGAACGAGACGCCCCCCCCCCGTTGTTCATCTCTAGATTTTCCCCCAAATCCAAAGACGGATATGCAATGTCATAGATCCTGACCTGGCACCTCGACTCCAGTTCTTTCTCACAGACGTGATGTAGCTTCGCACTGTCTTTTCTACAAATATTTTCATGACATCTGCTCTGATGAGATATTTTCACTGGTGCCCCGACTGCATGAATTTAAGCGTGCCACTAGATTGGCATCTCGGTCCCAGTCTTTCACTGTCGAAACAGTCAAATGTAACCGCCTCTTCTACTCAAACAGCTTCTTCTCTAGCACTTCCGGACAGTGGAACTCCCTTCCTCTTACTTGTTTCCCTGATAACTATAATCTTCAAATATTCAAATGTAATGTCAATCGACATCTTATGATGCCTTGATCTTGATCCCCGTCCTCCTCTTTATCCTTTCCACAAACACTCCCAACTATTTACTCTTACTTTCCCTCTCTGTAACCACTTGCGTGCTAGTGGCACTCCCGCCTTGCTTGGAGCGAAATGCTTAAAAAAAAGAAGTAAAAATAGAAAGGAAGAAAGGAAAGAAAAGAAAAGAAAAGAAAAAAAAAAAAAGAAGGAGAAAATCAGTGGCGAAAGGATGTGAATAATAGTGAGGGTCACAGAAAAGAGTAGGGAGTAAAATAGAAATGAAGAAAGAGAAATGAAATTAGAGGAAGAAAAGGTACGTGGAAAGAGTGAGAAAAAAGTAGACAGAGAAAGGCACAGAAGAGACTGGGGATGTAAAAAGGGTAAAGAAAAGAAAAATAAAGAGGAAAGACGGGAGAGATTAGGAGTAGAGAAAGAGTAGAATATAGAAAAAGCTTTGAGAAAAACAGAATGAAAGAAAAAAGGAAAGAAGATAATGGAACGAAGAGATAGACTGAAGATCAGAGAACGAAAGAGAAAATAAAAAAATCAGTTTGATATTGTGAAAGCTCCATGAGCAAAAATGAAAAAAAAGAACGTGTTAAAGAAAATAGGCGAGGAAAGAAGGAAGGAAAGAAGAAAGGAAGACAAGATATGAAAAGAGTAGAAAGTAAATATGACGAAAGAAAAAAGAGAGAAAGGAAATAAAAGGAAAAAAGGATCGAAAAAAAGTGAGTTGTAAAAATGACTGTACTGTCTTTTCTTCATCATTCATGTCCCCATTATTTCTTTTTTTCGTTTTCTTTCTTTTCTTTTCTTTCTTTCTTTTTCTTTTTACTTCCAAGGCTTTTTTATACTCCTCTTTTTTCAACCCCTTTCCTTTTTCTTATATTCTTTGTCTATTCTTTCCCATTATTTGAACCATCTCCCTTGACACCAACTATTCTTTCTTTCTTTCTTTCTTTCTTTCTTTCTTTCTTTCTTTCTTTCATTTGTTCCAGCTCTAAATTCTTTCTTTCTTTCTTTCCTTCATTCCTTCTTTTGGCTATTTTTCTTTCTTTCTTTCTTTCTTTCTTTCTTTCTTTCTTTTTTTTTCTTTCTTTCATTTGTTCCAGCCCTAAATTCTTTCCTTCTTTCTTTCCTTCATTCCTTCTTTTGGCTATTTTTCTTTCTTTCTTTCTTTTCATTCCTTTTCTTTCTTTCTTTTCATTCCTTTTCTTTCTTTCACTTATCGCAGCTCTAATTTCTTTTATTTGATCAATCTTTCTGTCTTTATTTATTTATTTTTTCTTTCTTTCTTTCTTTCTTTCTTTCTTTCCTTCTTTTGGCTTTCTTTCTTCCTTTCTTTCTTTCTTTTCTTTTCTTCTTTCTTTCTTTCCTTCTTTCCTTCTTTCTTTCTTTCTTTCTTTCTTTCTTTCTTTCACTTGTTCCAGCTCTAAATTATTTCTTTCTTTCCTTCATTCCTTCTTTTGGCTATTTTTCTTTCTTTCTTTCTTTCTTTCTTTCTTTCTTTCTTTTCTTTCTTTCTAAATTTTCTTTCTTTCCTTGTTCCTTCTTTTAAATTTTTTCTTTTCTTTCTTTCTTTCTTTCTTTCTTTCTTTTTCTTTCTTTCTTTCTTTCTTCCTTAATTTCTTTTATTTGTTCCAATCTTTCTAAATTATTTCTTTTTTTTTCCTTCATTTTCTTTTGGCTTTCTTTTTTTCTATTTTCATTCTTTCTTTCTTTCTTTCTTTCTTTCTTTCTTTCTTTCTTTTACTTATCTCTATATTTATCTAAATAGCCTTTATTCTTTCTTCTTCTCTTTCTCCCGGCTTCCGACTTCTTAAATAAAACATCCCAGATCCTTACCTCATTATTCATTCACGTAACGGCCAAAACGGACGTAGTTGTGTTTGAAGTCCCCACCCGCCCGGGAGAGGGTCGACTTGAAAAGGCTTAGCCAAATTTATTTATGTCTTGCTGTTGGCCCCGTCTCTGGATCGTTTCCTTTCACTGGGGTCGATGGGGTGGCTTCGTGCACCGGCTTTTCAGGAGGGCGACAAAGCTACATCGGAATAGTAAGGAGGGCAAGTAAAGACGTGAGGGCCATGATACGAGCTTTCAATGCAGCACTGTCAATCGATATTTAGTCCGGTTTATTTAGTACGACACAAAGCCACAAGTGTGGGGCAACCAGTGTGATCGAACTCAGTACCGGAGGAAAGGGACGAAGAAATGAATTTTTTTTTCATTACTTAACTGGTAAGGAATAGTAAGCTAATCGCCCAGACATCGTGTCTTATTGACATGGTAGTCTCTGTAGATTATAATATATCTTTCAAAATCTTAAAAAAAAAAACTATCAAAATATACTGGAGTGGTAGCACCTGTTAGGGTCCTAGCTATGAGCAAATAGCGAACCCCTAAGCTGGGCTCAAAACACTATGGATGTTTAGAAATACATTTTTATAGTGAATGTGCCAGTAATATAATTTCATAGTAAAAAATATTACCAGCAACACATTTTTGTAAGGAAGAAAAAAATTACCAGCAAACTATTTTTGTAAGGAAAAAAAAAAGAATATTACCAGAGTGATGTAATGGAATAACCAGTCACCTCCATGAATGGTTACACTATAGGTAGTAAGTACCTATAAAGTCGACCGTCTACAAGAGACTGGGAAGGACGAGAGAGAAAATAATTAAAGCTATTTTTTCGTCTAATTTTTGGGTTGAATGCTGTAGCCTGTTCTAACTGTTAATTTGGCGATGGGGGAGTTCTTAATTTGTTCGGGTGGTTTGTGGATAGTGCTCTTTTACTAATTGTGCTCAAATAATAATAAAAAAAAAATTAACCCAAATACATAAACCACACCCGCCAATATAACCGTCAGAATGGGCTACAGAAAATGGACCACTAACCCGTATATATAAATAGTCGAGAGAAAACCCAACACTCGTGGCCTGACGATTGCGTCTAGCATGAAACATTTTTTTACTTTCATATCTATATATATATATATATATATATATAAAAGAGAGAGAGAGAGAGAGAGAGAGAGAGAGAGAGAGAGAGAGAGAGAGAGAACGCAAGCACGTCCGACCTTCCGGTTAGTGGCACTCACTACTAGATTGACCTGTGTGTATAACTGTACCGTATTCCATATTGTACTTGTTCTGTACAATAAACCTTTCTTCTAGTACCCACCTGGTGTTACTTATTTATTCCCTTAGCACGGAATATAACACAGTGATACATTATTGTAAGGAAGGAAAAAATATTACCAGCAATACATTTTTGTAAAAGAAATTAATAATGCACGCAAGAAAATTACATTTCGGTATTAAATGACCCATAAGGATTTGATATGCCGTTAAATAAACAAACAAACAAAACTATCAAGATATAAGCATCTTGAAATGGAAATTTAAAATATGTCGCACATCAATAATTCCAGTTGTAGTTGGAGCCCTCGGATTGATTGGAAACGGTTTCGATAGACTCATTGTAGGGACCCCTGGTAGCCCATGGATTAAAGAATTACAAAAAAATGCACTCAAAATTACAGCTCACACATTACGAAGATCTTTATCTATGTAAAATTTATGTGATCTTTGGTTGTTTATTTAAATACAAAAATGATCAGTGGAAAATGTTATGAAGCCATTTCTAACCTTGGGTCTCTAGTTGTGACGCGGAAGGAAATGTGTATACAACAGAAATCAAAGGAAATAATAATAATATATTTAAGCAATTAATGGAACGGTGTATTTAATTTTATATTAATATAATTATTAATAACAAAACCCGTGAAAATTTATCGGTTTTCCTAATTGACTGTTCCGATGAATCTTAAGTTTTAAGTTAATGTTTGAATAAACCGCTTGAGAGTTCCAGGAATCCAAAATATCCGTACAAATTCCCTTATTGCATCTTTACATACTCGACCATAACAACTTTAACAGAATATTGCAATAACAATCACAATTATGAATGCATGGCATTACTGAAGGAAATAACAGAGAACAAATTAAAAGATTCAAAATGGAGAATATTTTCCATTTCACTGAAACAGACGTTATACACACGAGAGTGTTAACGTCTTCTATATGTTCTCTTTCTTTGTTTATTTGTTTCTTTGCTACTTTTATTTCCACAATCATTGTAGAAAGGCTGCAGTCTGTTTCATGCTTGTTTTCAGGCCAAATGAAACAGGCTGTCACCTTTCGATGTTGAACTCTGTGGCTACACTGTTTATATATTTACAATTGTTCTATCCTAGACATGGGGCACTTTTGCCAAAGAAATCTAGCATACGTTAAAACTATATTTTATTATAATACATATGTATTTATATATATATATATATATATATATATATATATATATATATATATACGTGAAAAGTGTATATAAATATAAATAAATATGTATATGTATAATTATTTATATATTATATGCGCGGTACTTATTAGAATAAATAAATGTTTAAATTTCAACATTTCAACATACAAATGCGTATGTATAGACATAACACCACCCGTATACATACATATGTCATAGCCGAAACTGCCCACATATGTTTATATATGTATGAGTCCCGACGGACGACCAAGTATGTATATGTGTCTGCATACATCGATGTTTGCGTTAGTACGATGAATGACAAAACGACGGAGTTTCCACCACCACTTCCACAATAACACCAATACACGCAATCTACATAAACCCAAATTTTTTAAAACATTAATCAGTTTGTCTGACGATCGCTAAAGCGTGAAACCCAGTGTCACAAACTCACATCTATCCAACAAATATATATATAATATATATATATATATATATATATATATGTATATATATATTGTCATCCACAGACAGATTGCTACGTTGTATCACAGCTCATCAGTGTGGTTAGACGTCCAATTGCCTCTAGCTAGGATTAAACGTACTATTATAACATATGTTCCAGTTATGTTCCCTATGACCAGGATCAGCAAGTCAGTTTATATTATAAGTTACGTCCTCTGTCTCCGTGTTTAACTGTGTAGGGAACGCCAGTTTCGTCCTTCAGGACTTTATCAAACTGATGGACGAAACGCGCCACGCGTAAACCTTTTTCCACTTTGTCATACGTTTTCCCCAATATTGTTCTTGATATATCTTTATCTCATTCATATATATATATATATGTATATATACATGAATTATTCACACAAAAACTAATGCAAAGGTTAATGATTTAAATGGCGAGACATCCATCATCGCAAACAATTCAAATAGTATACAAAAACCTCCGTATCCGTTATGAATGAAATGATCCCTGTTTATATAAACTTCTGCCGTATTAGTTCTTATTTTTACTACAAGCTTTCGTCTGTTCCTACAGACATCTTCAGGTATAGAATAGATGTTGTTCTTGTTTTTTCTTGAATTGTTTGCGATGATGGATGTCTCGCCATTTAAATCATTAACCTTTGCATTAGATTTTTTGTGTGAATAATTCATGTATTTGTAAATTGATTGCACGTTTATCGTAATATATATATATATATATATATATATATATATATATATATATATATATATATTATAATTATTCAAAAAAAGTATGATTCCATCGCTACATAAGAGTTCTCATGTTTCAAAGACAGGAGCTAAAAACTTCAATTATAAAAATTAAATTGAATTAAAGTATCAAGCTCTGTTTCATCTTCAAGTGAAATTTTTGGATTCCAAACTTCAAATTTAATTATAGAATTAAATTTAAATCTCTAGTACTGTTTCA